GAAACTCGTAATATATCCTTGTAGCACAAAAAATTTTTCAATCGTACTAGAAGCATCCTGAATAATTAAACATCACTTTCTTTTAAAAACTCACTCTATACGAAAGTTATTCCATAACATTTATATAGTTTCCAATGCGTATTTTTAAACAACATGTTGTCTAAGATATTTTAAGTAAAAGGTTTTCGGTCTTTTTTCGAGCATTAAATTATTATTTTAAATTGTTCATATTATAGTTTCTTAAGTACTTTAAATAATATATATAATTAAAAGGTCCATAAACATGAAATTTTATGTATTAGTATTTACCTTTTTTCATTAATTTTTTAATTACTTTTTTAATTAAATGAATAAATATAAAATTAAAATAAAAAATTGGAATTAATATATTATAAAATACATTTATATTTTAGAATTTAGAAAAGAATAAAAAAAATTAGTATTGTACAAAAAAATACATTGGATTATGGATTTCGAACTTTATACTAAAAATAATATTAAAATTGAAAAATTTTAATTTTAGACATATTATATTGTTATTTTTAATAATAATTTAATCAATATATTGTATTATATTTAATATATATAATTTTAAATATATATAATTATACTTAATTATGGAGTCATTTGTACGTAAATAATTTAACATGATTTTAAGCGTAAATTTTTCATGAATTTAATTTAGCATTGAATATTACATATTATATTAAATATTATAAAAAATATTGAACATAAGATTTAAAATGGATATCGATGAAAACTATAGGTTGAAAATAAAATTACGTGATTATGTTAAAACATTTATTATCCATTCATTTTAGACAATAGATTATTTTAATTAAAAGTTTACAGTTATATAGTAAAGTCATTTGTAATATAATATTTTTTTTTTGCAACAGTTTCTGAAATTTAATCTTATCAACATTAATTCAATAAGAACAAAATGAAAAAAGTTGAAGAAACAAGACAATAAAGTTTTGTAAGTAGAGCAGAGAGGCACATATGAAGTTGTATTTTCAAAATGCTTTTAAATACTAAAATGTATATTTTTCTTGTAAATAAAAAAAAAAACAAGAAAAAATTTTGCTTGAACAGTAGAGTTTAATTTAAAATATTGGTTCTACAATTTTGTTTACTTTCATATTAAATATGGAAAATATAGTAATTTCATGATTACAGCGCATACAATTTTTTCAGTCAAAGGTATTAATTGCTGCCAATAGATAGAAAAAATGTTTCAATAAGATTTTTTAAATAATTTTTTAATACAAAAATTTTGAATATACCTGATATTTAAGTTAAAATATTTTTTTTAACAAAAATAGGAGAGGACAACAATTTGATTTACTAATTTAAAACATCAAAAATGTTTTATATAGTATTTAACAAATCAATATTACAACCATTATTTTAATATTAAAAAAAATGACACAGAGTTATATATTTTTTATTTACCAAACGATATAAATACGAATTAATACTTAATTCTATTAGAGATAATAGTACATCTAACTGTACTTTAACGTCTTTAATTACATTCCTAAACGTATTTAGCTATAAATAGGATTAAGAAAATGAAACAGTAATGATTAATAATTAAATTTTTTATTAATTATTTTCACATATCTTAATTATAATAAAACTAGCTAAAGCGATTATTTTAACTGGCGATGTATTTCTCAGAATTGCAAGTATAATACGTATGTCCCTACCATTATAATCATTTAGATTGAAACGTCGTGTAAGTGTATTAATTTCTATTAATTGCCATGTTCTTCGATCGTTAAAAACTGCAAAATTACTGAGAGAACAATTCATTAACGGCAATATCAAGAAATTAATGTACAGTTAAGCGAATTGATGTTTTCGTCTTAGATGCATGCAAGTGCAGTTCCAACTAATTCCGTTAAGTGAGCTACGTTTTTTTTGAAGCGCAGGAATATGTTGAGTTTCCAAATTTTGTCCTCTTGAATGTCGTCTGAATTGGCCACTGATGTGCAACAGTTATTACAAGAAAGTTTTTTCTTGAGTTACAGTTTCATTACAGAGCTGAGAAATCTGAGGAAAGTTATTACGATTACAAGAGATGTACACGCACCTCGTCGAATGAGCCGAGAGATAATAATACGACCTTGCACTTAATGACGAATGTAATCGTTGAAAATATTGACATTTTCGGTTGCGTGATTATTGTTTATGAAGAAATGTACCGATAATTTATAGATAGACAATTAACTTCAATTCTTTATTTAACTTGGGTTATTTTCTATAATATATATATATATATATATATACATATATATAAGCAGTGATAGGTATTTATATTTTATATATTACATTTATTATTTTTATATATACACATAGTTTACTAAATTTCTTTAAGATTAATTAGAAGTGATATACACTTAAAAATTTGAAGTACCTTAGGTATTCATTTTGGATAATTATTGACGCAGTTTGTTAAAACTAGAAAATAATTATCGATGTAGACAACGATGTAGCGAAAATTATATATTGAAAAATAAGCAACTAATTATAAATCAACATATAATTCTTATCTTTAATGGCAGAAATATTTCTCAATTTTTATAATAACTTATTATGTTAAATGACATTGTTTAAAGTTTTGCTATGCGGGTACCAAGTAGTATTAATTATTCATGTTTTCATCAAAACAAGCCAATTAACTTTAATTATATATAAATTTCTTGGATATACATTACAATATACTCATCAAAATATAAATTCATTATTGAAATTCGAAGTGTATTACTGTTTTCATCGTGGAAATATTATTGAAATTTATAAAAATTTTGAATAAATTGTATTAGCTATTTATTGAATTATCTTAATTTAAAATTTACTTAATATTATTTAAAATTTTCATTAGAGAATGATAGAAAAATTATACACACGTGCACTCATGTACACGTTTACTCCTATATATATCTATATACATTTTGTGTAAACAATTTATATAGAAGCTTAATTTACGTGAAAACGCTGTTTTGCAATTTTTTTTTATAACTATTCTGGGAAGAATAAAACCTAGTTTTTGTAGACTCAGTGACAAATAAAAACTACAATAAATTTCTATTACCGTTTTTTTCACAGAATTTATATTCAATATTTATTATTATATATATTTTAGATACTTTTTCATAATTAATAGTATTTATCTGTTTGTATTCAAAAGTAACATTTTTTATTATATTAAATCTTATATTACTTCTTATACAGTATATAGTCATCTATTATTGATAATTATAAAATAATTAAGAATGTAACTATTTAAAAGTAAACGATAAAATTTCATTAAAGGAAGGTTATAGATTCTTAAAAGATAAAATTAATAATTAAATTAATTTACTATCATATCTATTTTCAGATAAAGATTAAACTTTGTAATTAATTATTTTAATTTTGAATTTGATATAATGTCAATTACATTGTACTTATGGATGCTAGGATACAAATCACTAATATAAATATATAAAAATTATTATAAAATAAAAACTCTTATAAGATATATTTTAATAAAAAATTATTGTTTTAAACAATTTTATTTTTAAAGCAACGTAAATTATATTCGTTTTAATTAATGATATTTATTTTAAAACGCCGGTATGAAATTGCATTTTTTCAAGTAAAAATTTATATTATTGAAACTGTGAAATGGCAAGTGAAAAATTAAATCTCTATTAAAATAATCTATGTATATTATATTATCTAAATAAGGAAAATAAACTAATTTTTTTAAGATAATACCTTCCTAGCATATGCTCTTATCATAAGATACAATAAAAGTAATAAATCTGTATAATAAAATGTTGGAACATGTAATAAATATTTCAAAACAATACTTAGACAATTCAAGAGTTTGTCGATTCTCTCATTAAAGCGAGCATGTGTTAACAAACTGACGACAAGTTGAAAAATAATTCGACTCATCATATTAGTAGCCATCGTCGATCGTGAAATCATTTACTGCAATAGCCAGGTGACCGCGATGAATATGTAAGAGGATCGTAAAGTTGGCGGGCCGCTTAATCAGCACTTCTTTCTTCTTCTACTTCTTCGTAATCCTTTAAGCAGGCAAGCTCATTGGAAATGCAATATGAGAAACAATTGCACGAGCTGCTGAACACGGGTCTTGCAGTTATTGTTAAAATGTTGGATACGTAAGTTAAAAGAATGATAAAGGATAGTCTAATCATTGTAGCTATTACCACATCGGGTCTGCATGCAGTGATAGGGACTGGATTTGCTATGACGAGTGATACGTTTCGCCTATCATTTACATGATATATACGAAGAAAAAACGTTTCTAAATATTTATACAATCCAATCAAAACAAAAAATTTATACTACGTCGGCTAATCAACCAAGAAAATGTCATTAACATTAAATATCCATCCGGACCAATTAATTTATGTGTAGATCAATATTTATAATAATTTCAATATTATAAAAAATCGCATACAATATGCCGATGTACCAAAGCTAAGAGATTTATTTTATTGAATTATTTCTAATGTAATCATATGCCGATTTCGAAATTCAATGGAGAAATACGTTGATTAATTGAAATAATCACAATGTTAAATATCCATAAAAATAACATTCCATTTTTTAACTTTATGTATATTACAATAAATTTAAATCTTTCTTAAATCTATTAATGTGTAAAATATTTTTAAATTTAATTTAGGAGAAAATTACTTAGTTGTGACAAAACGACATATGACAAAAATATTGAATTCTTAACAAACAGAGTATGTATATAATTGCTTATAAAAATGTTATATTACATTATTTAATATTATTATTTTAGAATAATAATATGAAGATATCAAATATTTGTATATCTTTGTGGATTTTGTAGAACTAACTACTTATTAATGTTAAATGATAAAATTTCTCTTGTTTTTATTTTACTTATTGTGAAACAACAAAAAGATGAATTTAAAGCGTTAAATTTCTTATTTACAGTTTGAGGTAGATGAAAGCGCTTTCCAATGCCACATTGCAATGGCCAAAGACAGGTTAGGTTCAGATTATTCAGAGAATATAAGTGAAATAACACCAAGTAGCAGCTGCATGATTGGCTCTATTGATAAGGTAATATATAACAATTGATTAGTTATAACTTTTTTTTTAAATACAACGATTTAAAATAACATATTCATTGAATTAAGAGCAATGCTGTATTTAATGATGATGTGCTTTATCATTAAATACATTATTGAACAATTAATGCGAAAATTACTCAAACTAAATTTATAAGTTTCTTAGTATTTCAAAGGATATTGCTTAAAATTTTTATTAGAGTTATCGAATCGAGAATAAAATTATTTATAGGTTTTTATTTCACATCTTCTAAAAGAAAAATAATCTTTATTAAAAAAATTACTGATATTTTAATGCATTCAGAAAACTATAATTATTTTTTTAAACGAATATAGGAAATTACTTAAAATAGTGTATTAAAATATCCTATTATAAAATATTTATTTCAATGTTTCAATATAGTTTTCTATGTATAAAATTTAGAAAATAAATGTAAAATCGTTTTCGTCTTTGTATAATTTCTCTAATATATTGCTAATACTCTATCTAGACATTTTAAAATTTCATTGAAATGTATTGGATAGAATTTTAATTTCTTAAATTTTCTGTCTCTCTGTCTCTCTCTCTCTCTCTCTCTCTCTCTCTCTCTTTCGTATGTAACATATTGTGAAATAAGGTTATAAAAATAAAAAAATCCGAATACTTAGTTGATAGGAGATAATTTAACTTTAATATTATGTGAACAGCTACTGTTAACTATTTTGAATTAAAGATTTTTATTTTTTAAAACCTTTTATTGTAGAAAAGTATTTTTAATGTTTTTTTGTTCAATATTATTTACCTGCTTTCTAATAAAGTAATTTTTTGGTTTATTTATTCTTTACCGTACAATTTAATTTTAATTTAAAACATGTTGTTGGTTAAGTGGAGCAAGTATTATAGGATTCATTATTTTTTATAAATCTTTTTTATATTTACATATTTTAATATTTAAAAATATTATTTAAATAATGATTTAAAGGTGCATAAATATTCAGGGAGTTTTTTTAGCGATCACCTAGAGAACGATAAGTATTAAATCAGGGTAAAATAACATTGTTATTATTAAATAAATTATATATTTACATGAAATGATTGTTTATAAATCCAGATGCTTCGACTAAGTTTTTGGAGAATTTAAGGCTTGATGAATTACAATTTTACATTATATTCAAATTGTAAATGCTACTAAACAACAGTAATCCGATGGACTATAATATTAATTTACATGAAAGTTTTACTTTAAATTACTCAAGTACATTTATTTTAAAAATTACACCATAATTTTATTAAAACAAAAACGAGTATAATCGTAAACGAAATGTCGTGGCAATTGAGCATTGTGGGTTGAACATGGTTAACCGGATCGCTGTGGCAGTGCTCATTGCGCGGCTGCAGCGGTATGTTCCAGGAGCCGTTTTTCCTGCACCCGCCGGGCTCACGGCCTCGAGACGGCCTCTACATTAATCCGATGAACTCGCCCTTCCAGACCAGTCGACAGAAGGAAAGCGCTAGTCACGGCTCTTCTGAGTCCTTTTATCTACACAGTCCTCACGACCTCATCTATACGCGCATCACACACCTGTTCGAAGATGGTGGCGATCGGACCAACGTTAACAGCCGCTCGTCGACCGAAGGGAAGGACGATACTCTAACTGGTAAGTATGGCGCGGCCCACATTATTTCATCTTTAAAGAGCAGTTGGTTTGGAGCGCGAGTTTGTGAAAGAGTAGGACCGGTGGAGGGGGGTGGGAGAAAGAGTGCGTGCGACCTCGATTCCATGATACCTTTGGATCGTTAAGATGCTCGATCATTGATACGGAAGTGAAATCTCTTTGAAGTACAACTGATTTCAAATTATTTAAAAGCAATCAGAAGAATCAGAGTTCCCTGATTATACTTATAGTCGAATTAAATGAATCCTCCTACTTGATGAAGAAAATGGGCTCAATAGCAGTGTTTTACTATTGTATTTGAAATTTATTTTTATATTAATTGCACGGAATGTACTCGATAAATCGTAATTAAAATCACGAGCAGATCAGAAAAATTACTTACATTTATTAAATTAAAATGAATTTTTTCAGCATTTTTTAAATATTATTCAAACTGTTAATTGCATTTGAAAAATAGTATTTTTAATTCGATAAATTGATATCTAGTATTAAAGATAATTTTATTTTGAACAATTCAAAATATTATATTCGATTAGCAATCGATATTTCTTGTTATTATCGGTGATTAAAATAGATTAAAGAAAGTTTTTATCCTGGAATTAGTAATTTTTAAATAGTAATTTGACAGAAGAACTTCTGATATTACGATATCAAAATGAATGAAATAGAAGATGTTAGGATTGTTGGCTTTAAATTCGTTCATATAATATTTTTTATTAAATAGATCAATAAAATGTTGTTCAAAAATGGATTATGCATATTAAATAAAAATGTTGAATGTATTTCTGAAATATTTTTAGAATTAGTTAAGAATTAAAATTCTGTAATATATTTTAAAGTAAATTAATTTTATTTATTAAAATTGCATAAAAGTAGTCTATATTAAATAATATGATTAATGTTTATATTAATAATAAGATCTGTAAGGAGATACAATAAGATAATAATAATTGTAATGATTATAATATAAATCAAGATTTAATAGTTTACATTTATAAATTTAGATTTCTTAAATCGTGATATTTAAGCGCATTAATAGAAAAACCAAATAGTGCATAAATCACATTTTCAGTAAATTGATAAATTCCGCGATAAGATATCGTAAGCTACGACAATACCTGTTTCCTTATCTAACAAATCAACTTGTAAAACCACACTGTATAGGTTACTTTTATGCTTGCACTTTTTGCTATTTCCTAAATAACTCGCGATATTATAAGAATATTTTAAATAATAAAATTTACAAGACTTTAAATATTTGGTAAAATTTAAATTCCTTAAACATTATATCTACATTTGCTTTTTATATTGTCTTAATAACATAAACAATAGTTGACGAAGGAAGTGTCTAATTGTATAACTATATTCACAATTCATTATATTTATCAAATTAATAATCGAATAAATTGTATAAGTTGTTAAACAAAATGTTTTAAGTCTTATATTTAGCAAAGATGTTAGTAAGAGAGATAACATTAGATTTCAAGGAAAAACGTATGAGACAACTCATGTCTTATAAAGCGTAAAATGGCTTATAATGACATAAAAAGCCTAATTTGAAAGAAATCGACAAATTTACAAGATGTAAAAATTTAAAATCCTATGTATTTATTATATTACGCTTTGGGTTTAAATATATTGAAAATCGTCCAAAACAAAATGAATTAATTGCCATAAATATATAAATAACGTTTACTTATACATAAAGAATGATAGAAAATTTAATTTATAAATTTAATTTAATTTTATAAATATAATTTATCACACACACACGCACACACACACACACACACACACACACACATATATATATATATATATATATATATATATAAGTATATAATAAGTATTTATATATAATACATAGAGAACATGATTTATTAATACTAAATGTTTTATTGAATTTTGTTTACTTCTAGATTCCATAATATTTTAAAATAAATTATTGTACATAACTAATAGTGTTGACACAGTTAACTATTTATTATATATTTAATAGTATGGAAATACATTTGGAATTCTTTAATAGACTCCAGAACATTAGCAATGAGCATATAAACTAGAGTTTAAAGATTACGTGGTTGTTAAAAGGTATTACTTTATTTTTTTCAAATAATTAATAGATTTTATTATTTATATATTTAGATACCGCGAGTATCGGATAAAAGCAAAGTAGACTGTGTTAGAAAGCAAAACTAAATTCATCGCACTACGGGGAAACGTAAATTTCTAGGGACAAAATTTCTACTAATAAAATTCCCGTCCGCTCCTTTGGCGCATAAGCGAATCATCGTTTTCGCAATCGGCAAACTTTCCTTGTTTCCATTTTTATTAAGTAGCAATCCAAATTGACTATCGAGTGTCCCTTTATTAACTATTACAATGAGGCCTCTAGACGGACAGTTAAGAGATACAGAACAGCTTGGCAGCAAGGAACTAACATTTATTCCTGTCCGCACTTTTCGTAGTGAAAGTGGATGTGCACATCAATAACGGTACGCTAATACCGAATGGAAGTACTAACTCCTTGAGATCCGAGCTGGCCAAGGACAGTGGTAGCGAACATGCCTACGAACAAATCTGCATCGGTCACGAGGAGCAGGGCAACCACAAGTATACAGGAGCCGCCAAGAAGCACCCCGATAATGCCTCGGATATCAGGTAATTATCGTCTCTTATTTATGGGGAGGGTCACCGTTTTCCCAAAAAATATACGTTTATGGACTAATTATGCGCTACTACTGCGTGACAAGCAATTCCATCTTCCTTGTCTTTGTTTTCATCCGGAAATCCAGTTTAACGCGATAGCTCGTCAATTTTGTAATTTACAGCTACTCATCAAATATTATGCTGTCATTAAACTTTACGGTTTCAGTTTGAATTTATCGAAATCTAATATACACAATACAATAATTTACAAAATTTCTATAAAGATCTTCTTCTTTATTTCCCTTATCATTATTTTAATTTAGTTTTCACTTTTTTCTATGCTCATTTCTGACATATTGAGTACATGATGTGAATAATATCTATAACCAGATGGATGTTTTACGCAATTTTTCATTAGCAGTCGATCACGTAAGATGGATCGACGATACAGCAGAAGCAGCAGTGCTAGTGAATCATCTAATATGAGTAGCGAAGTCCATTGTTACTCTTCAACGACGTCGACTCCCTCACTTTCTCGTAACAGTAGCAATGAGCGTATGAGCAAAAGTCCGAAGGTTACGGAAATATTGGCAGGTACTATTTTTTTTTTTTTTTTTTTTTTTTTTTTTTTTTTAAAATTAAATAAGAATATTTCATATTTAGTTGTTAAAAGCTTTATATATAGAGAATATTTTTATATTTTATTTAATAAAATTTTAATCTGCTTATTTATATAAAATCAAATGATAATTAATAAATTACTTATTGAGAATTTAGTTAAAAGTAATCGAAAATTATTATAATTTAAACAGATTTGTTACTTAAGTAATATTTAAATTATGCACGTATGTTTGTATATAAAGCTTCGATTCAAATCATCTGTTTGGTGTGTAAATTTTGATAAATGTTAATTTATGTCAATTATTAATAAATTTATAAAAGACATGGTTTTTAAGTAATCAAGCATATATTAATAAGGTTATGTGAATTTTCATTATTCTCTATTGAGAAATATTCTTATGGCTTTTTAGTATCATAGTATCGTTTGAAGATGTAAATAGTAAATTTAATACAGTTTTATTAAAAATACAAGCATAACAAAATATTGTTCGACAAATAGTAATTAACAGATAATATGAAGATTTGATTAAATTAAATATTTTTCATATAATCTGAATAAATATAACATATAGTAATATATTATATTTCATATTTTTTAATTATGATTGATAATAAGATAAAGTATTAAAATAGTCTTTTTATTTATAATATTTATAATTGATGTAAAAACATTGAATAAATGTATATAATATTAAAACTTTTATTTTTTTTTTACAATCATATTTTTCGGTAAAATATAAGCTAGTCGTTAAATAATATTTAAAAATAAAAGTTTATACTTAAACTAATTTGAACAATTTACATATATCTATTTATAAAAAGTAATAACTATATGAAATTATTTCACATATCTGTACATAAAATATATGCTTCAAATAAATGACTACGATTAATCATTTTGAATAATTGAGAGATGATATAGTTGAAATTAAGTTGAAAATTTATAAACGAAATAATTGCTATTTTATTAAAACAGTTATACAGGATGTAATGTCGAGTAAGACTAGATGTTTCTACGTATTACTTGATTGCCACGATATTTAAGCGCACACCAATAAAAGTGTTTATTTTATCTGCAATTATACAAAATATTTTTAATACTTCCGAATATATTTCATACGTTATTTTTAGATATAATTGCAATCTTAAAAAATTTTAATTACATATTAAATAAATCTTAATCTTTTTTATGTTATTTAGATTTCGCATTATAAAACTTGAAAAAACTTGTATTTTTTAAAATTCAGGATATAAATAACTTTTAACATTTCATATTTTAGTTGTTGTTATTTAATTTTTGAATTTTGACGTGTAATTATAGTATAAACGAATTTAAATAAAAAAGATATTCATGCAGGGAATAATTGTAAAATTTTAGAAAGGAAAACCTCGACGACGAGCTCGACAAGAGCAGAAAGTGAAAAGGGGACGAAGGCAGTGATCTCTGGATCCAGGTATGTAGGTTGAATCAATCGAGTGTAAAAAAAACGATTAAGAATTCGATATAGTTTTTGCAAATGAATGCTTATCTAAATGAAATATTAATATATTAGAAATAAAATAACAAGTTACTAGTACGTATCGATATTAAATATTTTTTAGTATTTTGCTTCATAATTGTTTTTTGAAATTAAATATATAATAATTGAAACTTACAGCCAGTTACTTTTCTATTTCATTAGTTTTATTGAATTTAGACATTTCTCTTCGTGATCTTAAGTCTTTTAATTTGTTACAAAATGATGATAAAATTATACATTGCTGAATTCAGCAATGGATATATATTTATTTAGTATTATATATAAATTATGTATGTATTGGTAGAAGAGAACTATTTAAATCCAATAAAACAGTGTAAATACTTTAGAATTTTTTAAAATGATTGAAAATCTAAAACTTAAATATTTTAATTTACTCTGTAGTTTACTTTAAAAAATAATTAATAAATTTAAAAATAAGTCTAAAATTCTTAATGACTAATATTCAGCATTGTTAGTATAATTAATTATAATATTAGAATTAAAATTTGAAAAGTTTTCACTAATGTTTCATAAATCTTACAAATTTCGCTAATTTAGCTTTTTCTTTCTTGCATTGAAACAATACATATAAAATCTAATTATTTTAAGTGTATAGTTTCAACTTAAGCACACTATTAATTATGTATTTCACAGTAAAATATTATGGTATACATAATTTTAAAATAAATTATGCTTTCTCTTAAGTTAATTATGTTTTTCATTTATTTCAATTTTTAAATTAAAATTTTATAAATAATATTATATTAGCTTAGATCTTTTGATAATAATAAACAGAATATGTAAATATAATATGTACTTTATATGAAGTAAAAATTGAAATCTTTATAATTAAGGGAAAATTATTGTTCTTACTTTTTATAAAAATGTTTTCAAACGTAATATTAAAGTTTTAAGGTGAATCAAATATATAATTAAATAAATAAACCAAAAGTAATGAAACTATACAATAAAATACAAAATTTATAAAACTTTTTGTAAAATTTAAAGCACTTGAAATATATATATTTGTATAATTTGTTCACAGTATGTTTAGGCCACCGCCTCCGCCACCGCCACCACCGCCGGAAATTGAGGAGGTAGTGATTGTTACTTCCAAAATTGCCGAGAATAATATTAAGGAACAGAAGCTTAACGGAAATCAGTCATCAACACAAGAGCAAAAATTCAACTCTAATATTACGACCATTTCCGGTAAAAAATTTTTCTTTTCCTGTAAATGTATTATTCTTAATAATACATGTAATAATAAGAACAACAACAATAACAACAACAACAACAATTTTTATATTGCTATATTATATGTCTCTATTATATCGAATATTTGAGAAGCTTGAAATCATTTTTACAGCTTTTAAAAAATAACTATATGCTTTTAAGTATTGACGTTTTAATAATATTTTGATAAATTTTTAATAAAATATATTTTACTTTACTGAGTGAGCAGTTATGCTTTATGAAAAATTTTATTTGCATGGATATGAATCTATATTTTATAACTCTCATTTCATTTTGTCAAAGTACTTGAACATTGTCAATGTAATATAAATTGTCTTCAATTGATTTAAAACTCAGTCAATGATGGATAAATTATTCACTAATTAGAATGCTATCAATTATCTAGTAATCACGAAAACTAATTGCATTAACGTAGACTTTTATAAACATATATTGAATGGGTATAACTTGATTTAACATTGATTCATCAGTAAAAAGATAGTATATAAAAATAATATATAATAGTATGTAATAATTGTTATAGACAATATTTAATAATAATGATTTCATATATATAATTCACTCTATATATATACGTTAATTATAACATACTATAGCAGAACTTTAATATGAGTGAAGACCGTGAACGTTAATTACCAAATCAAACTTGTGATTGAATGTAGAGTATTTTCATTATATTTCTCTTAACAATTGATTATTGGACCGTATTATGTTAACTGAGCTTGAAAGGAAATTTATTAATTCGCGCAACAAAGAGGCATCCGTGACGATGGTTAAGCATAGCATTAAACATAAAAGTGTTGCAAAATGATAGTCGACGGAAAAAAGCGTTGAATTAAGTAAGAATGTATCACACCCTATGGGCAAAGGCTACATTTTATATTCAAGGGAAGTCGGAATTGCGCGTACGGTAAGTCGAGATTTTTCACAAATAGCAAGCGTCAGGTAAAGAGGAATCCTTGCAGGGATTGGACTCGACGCTCGGAGCTATCGAGAGAGAGTGAGTTTGAGGTTGGTGGCCGGGGCGATCTTAATTGGATCCAGATGCACACGCTCACGATTATGGATGTGCACGGCCTTTACTAGACCATGGCACTCACGCGGGCATATAATACACTTACCTAGATTTCACCGGAGACTCCTCCTCTCGCATTAATAATCCCCTCTTGCGTTCGTTCTTCCGGTTCTTCGTGAGTAGCAGTGGCTGCCAGACCCAACGACGAGGACGATGCCGCCGCCGTGGCTCAACGAGTTCCCGGGGACTCGGCAGTCGGCAGCTGTACGCCGAACGCCAGCGCCGAGGAGGAGAGTCGATGCACTACGAGTGTACAGCCAACGGGGACGTCTCATCCGCTCAGTAGGCACATGGTTCTACCCTTCATACCGCCCAAGTTCGCCAACCAGGCCACGGACTCCGAGAGTTTGCTCAAACCCTCGGAGTATTTGCGCAGTATTTGCAAGGGAGCCACCTCCGGTCCAGCCAACAGCCTCTCCAAAGCCAGGTAGGTTTCGTTTTGTTTTCTTTTTGTCGTTCTTCATCTTTACTTCTGAAAATTGGTGGGCTAGGATTTTTAGCAAAGAAAGCCGCGAGCTGTTGCCCATGGACAGGGTTCCAGGTCCATTTATTGGCAAGACAAGCCGCGTGAAACGGAGATTCTTTATTACAAATTTAATTTATAAACTTTATAAGCTTACGTTTAAGACACGTCGTTAATCTATTAACAAACTTAAATTGACAGTGCACTATGGTGTTTTAACCAAAGTATTATAAAAATGCACCTTGTTACTACTTTCGTTAGTTTTTAAAGCAAGCTGTTTTTCATTATATTGTGCCAGTCATGTTATTAGAAATTGAACGGCATTCGACTAAATTCTATGCACCACTGGTTTTATTGTACTTGATCGCAAGGCTATTATATATCATAGAAGTCATATTGATTAAAAAGTTACAACTGAATTGAACGTGCATTTCAAAATTTTAAACCACTTTTCTAAAGATTTTACACTATTCGCAAACGTCATTATCTAATTTGATGAAAATTTTAATACTTTTTGTTACTATTTAATGAATTTACTATATTATTTAGATAAAACCTCGTGTAATAGTTATCACATTGCATATATATATATATATATACACACACAATTGAGTTACCATCAGCTTAAAGTATTTCCAATTTTCAGATTTTTAATGCCAATGTTATGATGATATTAAAATTTGTAGCATTAGGGAGAAGAAACAAATTATTTAGAGCTCGGAATTTCGTGATAAAATTATTAAGTACTCATAAATTTTTAAACAATAAACGATAACAAAACTTTCCCTGTAAGAAATAAAGTATATATAAGCTTACAATACGTTAACATCAAGTCAAATATATTGATTTGTAACTTAGGCTATTTGTTTATTTTTATAATTGTTGAAATATTTATAATTTTTATGTAAAATTCATATTTAATATTTATGCCTTTTATATTATCACAATTCATTTAAATCATTAAGCATAACACTTAAATATAGAAGTGAAAAGAGAAATTTTCTTCACTCTAAAATAAGTAGGAATAAAAATACAAAATCTACTTTATTGAAAAAAGTTGGTTTACAATAATGTATAAGTATTTATTACTGAATAGAATTTCTATGTAGTGAAATTAGTATTGTTATTTATGCAAATTTATAACTTATTCTCATGTCTCGTCAATTTTCATAAATGAAAAAAGAAAGTGAAATCATATTAAACTAATATGTTAATAATTAATATGAAAATTTTAATTATTTACTTATTTCATTCGCGAAGTTTAGCATTATTTTATACATTACTTTTTAACTCTTTAAATTATATTCTACTTTCCATAAGTTTTTTCTTTATTTACATACGTTCCAGTACAATCATTTCCGGTTCATAAATATATGTTTTATTGTGAAATTCTGCTGTATTATCTTACAAATTCACATTCAAAGATCGTATTCAGTAAGTCAGCAAAATCAGTTTGTTATAAATAAGCTTATAATTTCATTATTATATTAAAATATGGTATAGACTGTACGTATGTCAACTTTACGTAAAAGAAATTATTTTTATCTTTACAATATATCCTGTAATGTTTTCTGAGCATCAGGCCATAAAATCAAGAGCAAACTATTTTCTAATTTATTCGTACGCAAATTTACATATGATTATTTCGGACATAAAAATTTGTTTATTTACAGATTTATTGAATATAGTTTACACAAATTTTAAAATACAAAGGAAATACTTAATTAACTCAACTTATATTTGTTATATTAATTTGTAAATAATTTAATAAATATAAATATTAATAAATGCTTATTGAAAAAAATTAATTACTCGTGAATAATTTTTTTAAGACTAAAGATTGAATTTTTGAATGTCTGTATTCAAATAATTTCAGTATTACAGGTTTTTATATTAATTAATTATATTAAATTAAAAAAATGTTTGAATAATAATATTTAAGAAATATAAAAGTTTTATTTATACTTAAATTTATTATGTTTTATAATTATTCCAAATTTAACGATTAATCTAAATTGCTTATATGTTTAATAGCTGATTTTGTCAAAAATTTTTTTCGACAAAAAAAATTACTAAGATAAAAAATAAAAAATAAAACAGGAAATAATGTGAAAATTTAAAAAATTTTTATTCACTTTTTAAAAATACACTTTTAACTCTCAATAAATATTTTAAAAATTTTGTTGGACAAGATATAGAATACTTTTCTTTATGAGCCATTTCGATTTAAATTTTGAGAAAAGAAGAATTATATAAATAGCGATACCTATCTAAATAAAAATAATAATAAGTGTATAAAAATATACAAATATTCTATTGTCTGATAGTGAAATTAGTATAATATAGAGGAATTAAAATTTATTGAGCAGATCGGTGGATAATTTGGACATCCAGGGCTGTGGAAGCGACGACGAGAACCGAAAAAGCGATGGAGATGTGCAGCCCGTGAGGACGGAGTTGTCAGGACCACCCCCACCGCCTTTACCGCCACCACCCAATAACGGTATTGTTACATTGTTATCAACAAATTCGACGGCCGAAAGGGAACACCTGGTGAAGCAAAGTCAGCATCAGCAACAGCAGACACAGCAGCCCTTGGCTACTATTAGCATTCAGGATCTAACAAGTGTTCAGCTGAGGCGTACCAATGTCAAGATGAATGCTACGAAAACATTTTCAGCCCCACCCAATCGCAGCGTTTCCATGACCAATGGTCATTAGTTCTTTATTAAGTTTTAAATAAATAAATTTATCTGAATTTATAGCTAAAATAGAAACATTAATAAAAACGTACAATATTTCAAAATGATATACATAAACAATGAAGAAACGGAAAATTTTTTTACATATATATACTCAGTATTCTTAGTATTTAGTCTAAAAAATTCTTTGAAGAATTATTTTATCATATTTTTATTTTTCTCGGCGTAATATAAACTACAAACATGCATTTCACATTGAAAGCTTTGAACCATAATGATACTGTTGATTCTCATCCAATTTATATTCTGTTTCGTATAAACATGAGGTTAATAGAGAAAACAAAATATAATATAATAAAACAGCTAGTATTTTATTAACTTTATTATGTCTATCAGTAATTTTGTTTACTTACTATTAGGAATAATATGAATAAAGGAATAGATTGTGTTTTATCTGATAAAATTCTTGATATTTGTTTATATATGTTTAATCCGAATGATAACGTTTTATAAATTACATTTTGGCATGATATTTTTAGCTTTTTAAATAAAAAGTTCGATAATTTATTTAATTGTTTAATAAGCAGTTCTTAATTCATGTTTATTATTAGATATATCTATTTAATAGTAAATATAAAAGGAAACTACAGTTTCGGACTTAAAATTGTTATTGCTATCCGAAAATGATTATATTTTCATGTAAAGGATTTATAAAATATAAAGCTTCATTAATAGAATCTATCAATTATAGATCTAATAATAAATTATATTATTTCTTGGAAGTGCTATAATAGTTAGACATAAAATAATAATATAAAACTGGTTGCTCGTATTATTCGAATTTTTTGTCTACGGAAATTAGTAATTCTACGTTTTAAGAAATTTAAAATTTTTATAATAAAAAATGTTAAAAATAATAATCTCCTGCATTATACAATAATTTTATAACATTATCTAATCTTTTTTTATAGTGTCGGAAGCATTTTTTATTCAGAAAACAGACTTGATAGCAGAATTGAAAAAAACAAAAGATATTCCCGGAATAAAGAAGTTAAAAGTACAGCGCGCTCAAGTTGAAAAGTCAGAAGAGCAAAATCTTATCACAGAAATTAATAAAGCTTTTAGTATTTCCAATTTTGTAGACCAAGTTAGTAGTACAATTTTATTTATTGAAGTTAAATTGTTTTATATATATATATATATATATATATATATAACACATTATTTCTTAGATTCCAGAAAAAGATAATTCTGGGAATGTTATTCCTATATGGAAGAGACAAATGCTAGCGAAAAAAGCAGCTGAACGTGCAAAAAAAGAATTAGAAGAACAAATTGCACGAGAAAACGAGGAAAAAAGACAAAAAGCAATACCACCTTGGAAAAGACAGTTATTGGCTAAAAAAGACAGCGAAATAAAAATTGTAGGGTATGTCATAATATACTTTTATCGTGATGGACTTTTAATCTATTGCAACGACTTATTTATATTAGTAATTTATAATATTAATGCATAGTTTAATTGGTTAATAATAAGACATAAATTGAATTTGCAATATTTTGAAAATATATTTTATATTTGTTAATAAACACTAGTTTAATAAAATTATTAAAAATATTAAATTTTTTTTTTATTTATAAGTTTCTTGATATAATATTATATAATAAAGGAAATGAGTACCTAAAAAGTAATTATACAAAATTTATTTAAAAAACTTTTTTCTTTTTAAAATGTTTTATTTATTTGTAATGTCTTGAAATGAAGAACATAGTTAATTACATAAATATAATTAATAGTTTATGATCCTTAATAAATCGAAAACTTTTTAAATACATGGTACAAGATTTAGACATTTTTCGTATCAATATATTTTGTATCAAACATATATTAATTTATGTCATATAATTTATGAATATAGGGCTAATCCAGTACAATCTGTTGCGTCAGTAACTATTCCCTTGGCGAAAGTTGAGAGTCCATTGATTTCAAAAAAGGACATCAGCGTCGACAATCCACCAACTTCTTCTAATATATTGCTGATTTCAGCAATGCCATCTAAATCAAGTGAAGAAAATAAATCTGCAATAATTCAAGAAGACGAAAAAAGAAATGGAACAAATGATGATTCCGAGTTTGTGCATATTATTCCGTGGCGAGCGCAGCTACGTAAAACCAATAGTAAACTCAATATTCTGGACTGATACGATTCAGTACAAAATATTTTGAATTTTTCTCTTTTATTGTATTTGTGACAAGTAATGATAAATTCGATTTTATAAATTTTTTTTGTAAAATATTTGTATACCTATAATTAAGATGAACAAAACTATTTTCATGGACATTGAGAGTTAGTTCAACAATTTTTATGATATTTATTTTTATGTGAATATACGAAGTTTATTGTTAACTCAAAAGAACATGAAATTACTTCAAAAGTTAATAATTAGCAATGGCTAGAGTTATTAGATTTTATATGCTATGATATCGTATCCTCGCCTAATAATATTAAGATTACTGGCAATCGACTATTTTTCTTATGTGTAAATAAAGATTATTTCATTTATTAATGTTAGAATGTATTTATTACTCATGTGCTTACTGCTTTGCTTGTCACCTTTTTATATTAAAAATATAAAATGATATGCAGTTAAAAAGATATTAAAAAATAATAATAATATTTTCATATATAATATTTTCATAAAACTTCAGTTAGACAATACATAAATTGATACTGAATCATTAACTAGAATGAATTTCGATATACGTTTTTTTAATTATACAATTTGCAGTGCAGAATAATAGTTTTTTATATTTATATTTAAAAATAGTAAACTAAAAAACATTTTTCAGTTTTTATTTAAGGTTTTTATTTTTGTGGAAATCATGACATTTTTTAATGAATCATTCACTGTTTAAAATTAATTATTGCTTATCTATTGTAATTTTTTCTTATTATGCATTCAATAGTAGATTATAAATTATAATTAATCCTTCTACTATAAATTAGTAAGGAAGAGTTAATATACATATATATAAATATCATTTATATTATTATCAATCCTGGGAATTTAATCATTTTATAAACTTAACACAGAAACCAAATAAAATTACTATAAAAAATAAATATTAAAATTTAATGTTCATAAAATGTAAAATATTGAATTCCCAGAAAAAATCAGATGTAAAATATAAATTTTATCTATTTAGCAGTATCTTCATTTTTTTTTTTAAATTATAAATATTAAAAATAGTTATAGATTAATAGTTTTCTGAAAAAAAATATTAAAAATTCTTGTGGATTAAAGATGGATGGAAACATTGAATATATTAAATTAGATAAGTAAATAATTTGTTTTTATAAAATTACTCTTGTTTATTAAAATTCGTTTCTATTTTCATTGTTGATAATATTTTAATTTTAATTTTAATAGTTTTTTTTCTTGTTCGTAAATTAATTTAATCAATCAAATACTCCAATAGTGAACAAAATCATTAATAATTTATTTCCTTTAGTGAAAATTAAGTACAAAATATAAGTACTGTTTAACTGCTATATATATATTTATTGTAATCTATATATATGTCATAATAAATTAATAATTTAATAATGATTAATAAATAAATACATATATATGTATGTGTGCGTATAAACAAAACATATTATATTTCATTAATTATTTATTATTATTTTTTTTTTATTATATTACGTTGTTTAGTTTAATTAATTGTTAATAAATTATTGATTTTTTTCAAGATATAATTTCACAGTGTATTTATTTTTATATAGATTATATCTTTATTTTTACTAATGAATTCATTTTCTTTAGAACGTTAGTCTTTTTATTATATTGAAAAAATGTATAGGATGCGATGCTTTTTATACTATTCTTAAATTAACCAATAAATCATTATCAATTATCTTCTAATTTATTATATACAAGTAATATGTGAATTAATTTATTAATAATCATAATTTGTTATAATAATTAAGATCCTTTTAGATGGATTTAAGACTCGAGAATACAATTGGATATAAAATCCATAGAAGAATTTATAAGGCCTTAATATAATAATATTTATATTAAGGCCTAACATATAATATATTAATGCTTGTAATATTGAAATGAAATGTGTATAAGTATAATAATAACTATGTAATATACTATTCAATTCGAAAATAAGTATAAAGCGTAAAGATTATTTATCTCTCTTGTAGTGAATTTAGGTATTAATTAAAAGTATATTGAAAATATAAATGAAGATATATGTAAATATATATATTACTTAATCTATTGATAGATTTATTGATAGATATTTTAAATATTAGAGTTAGTGTAAGTGACAGGTGAGTAACATACTCCTAAAAAAGGCAAAAGCTGTGTAATTACCGTCGATTAGATGAGACGAGCTAAATATTGTAGCAAGCCTCACCGATTTCATAGGACCGATCATAATCTACAAGCACTATTTGTTTATAGTTTAACGACGACACACAAATAACACTCATAATATAAATAACTTTCATTTTTCTTTTTTATTAACACAGGTTAACTAAAACATATCATTGAACCTGTTCTTATTCCAATGCAATCAATATGTTACAACACTGCATGCTGTGTCTCACTCCCTGAACTAGATATTATTCTAGAGAACGTTGAACTGATCTAATGTATTACACAATCACCATAACTTATCTTAGTAAAATAGCATTTGTTTCAAAAGATTATATGTAAAGTAATAATATGAAAGTGAAATACTAAAAATATATATCCTCCGTTTACGTTTATAGTATTGTCGCTCAAATACAAAAATAATAGCATGAGATTGTGTACAAGAATATTACTCGTTCAATAGAATTAAAATCATAAGCATTATTAATAAATATAGAAAACACAATAAATCATAATACTATCGTTATTTTAATTACTTATATATATATATATATATATATATATATATAGATTTTTTTTTTATTAATATACATGTACATGTTAATATAATGATAAATAGCATTAAGTTAATGAATGATAAATGTCTAAATTAAATAATAGTTGAATATTAACATGATATTATGAATAAAATAAAGAATACTTATTAATTAATGATAAAAACAACAGAACTGTAAATACAAAAATAATTATAGTCATTAATGATTTTTCATTTTCTTATGTATAAAACTTAAATATATTAGAAATAAATTTCTTTCATTTATTAACTGATAAAAGTAATGCATTCAAAGAAGAAAGTACATTAAATATAATAAAAGTCTAGAAGTCCTATTCCTGTTTTTTTTTCAGATTGAGTCACAGAGAATGAAAAGGGGGTAAGTGATTGAAATACTGGACGTAAATGAAGTTTGGACTGACTCAATTTGCTTTAAATATGGAGAGATAAATTTTTTAATTGCTTTTTTAAAATCGTACCGTGAATCTTTTCGGATATATACTATTTTACTTACAAATATATAAGTCAATTAGAGATTTTTCTTCAGATGCTCAGTTACAAATATGGTATATATATATATTTGCACATATGATAATTTACAATGGTACCAACGCCACTAATGGACTTAAGATATATTTTTTATTATATGGAATTATTTTTATTATATGGTGATTTTCTAGATACAAGACTTATATATGTTTCGTATTTATTTATATTGTATTCATAATATTTATTCACTTTAGGAGCGATTTTAAGATATTGTATTTCTTTCAATCTAGAACTTCTATCATTTTTTTCTATCGGTTTATACGAAATTTTTAATTCAATTTTTAATTTAATGTTTGCAGTTCGCAATAAGATTATCACTATAAATATGGAGACATAAATATATTACTTATAAAGTATTATGCAATAATGAAATAATAACATAAGTAATTAATAAATATAATAAAACATTAATAAATATAAAGTATTAGTATGCTGCAAATTTTGTATGTGTGTTGATATTTATAGGTGCTTTATAGAAAAACAATTAAACTTACGACAATATTTCATTATCTCTATTTTGAATACAATTCAATATACTTCAGTTAATTAATAAATTTTTAGCATGATTGCAATTTTAAAATCCTAATTAATTTAGAAATATAAAAAAGGAAAAATTTGTTTATTGAATTGAAATGTGTAGAATTTACTTATCTAATTTCATTAAATTTTATTTGAAATCATATATATAATATCTAGATTGATTACATTAATAATTTTATTCATTGGATTTAAAAAATTTCAATTTAATTTATCATTGTTGTATTTATTTATTGGCAATAACTAAATATATATATATACTCTTTGTTTCAGAAAATATTTTAGTGGATAAATTATTATTAACATTTGTTAAAAGTAAACAAAATTCAGACATACTTATTTTTATAACATTAATATATATATAAAATAAATATTTTGCTATTAATAATTACGATAAAAATTTATTATCTAAGTTATGATAAAAACAAATAATGAAATTTCTTACTAAGGAATTTCATTTAAAACAAAGAAAGAAAGGAAAGTTTTTCAGCATGGAATAAATAAGATTTTTCAAGCTTTAAATTGAAGTATAAGATAGTATCTTTTTATTCGAATGGTTTTATACAAGGCAGTTACGGAAAAAGATTTTTATACAATGAAAATCGAACGTTACTCCACATTATAGGGAGTTTTCTTATACAAATGACATACAAAAAAGAGAACGAAATCCTCTATACAAATCACTGTCCTTAGAATCGAAAAATCAGGAAGATAAAAGATATATAAATACATTTGACGCATAAATTATACACGAAAAAGAAAAAAAATAAGAAGACAAGAGTGTAGTTTAGTTGCAAAGCGCATTTATATATATATATATATATATATATATATATGAAGAAAAAGAGTTGAGCTTTATTCAGGCGGTTCGAAAAATAAATAATAAATAGTTCCATGACGCCCATAATGATATATGCATATGTATATGTATTTTGTGTTTATACGTGTATAATGTATACGTTTATTCCCGATAAAAATGTTTTTTATTCCTTCTATTGATTTGAACAATAACTTGTTGCAGCAATACTATTTATACAAAATTTACAAAAATGTTCTACCTTAAATCGCAATATTTATCAAGTTTGACATAATAACAGACACGTTCAAGCCATTTTACAAAAATGACGAAATTTTCATTAAAACATTTTCATCGGGACGTGTTGACGATAAAACAAAAAGAAATAAAAAACGAAGGAATTCGACGCTTTGATCGCAACATTTTAT